AGTTGCGGTTCATTTAGTTGAAATGTTTTGTATGTACGGTGCACCATGCATATTGCAATCGGATAATGGTCGTGAATTTGTTAATGAAATTGTTGAAGAAGTAAAAGAATTATGGCCAGGTAAGTTAGCGTACTTTCTTTTGCATTGTTATTACTTAGTTGCTCATACATATGATTATAGGTTTGAAAATATGTCATGGAAGACCTCGACATCCACAAAGTCAAGGAAGCATGAAAAAAGCAAACGATGATGTCGAACGAAAACTGGCCATTTGGATGAAACAAAATAAAACGAGTAAACGGTCAGCTGGGTCGCCGTTTGTAATGCACCAGAAAAATACCAGTCATCACAGCGGTACGTTTAGACGCAGTTGTAACATTTTAATATCATATTCTCAATAAAACAATGTCATTGCGCACGTATTATGTACCAATTTCAGGTATTAATACAACCCCATTTAGTGTAATGTTTGGCTGTGCACCAAAACTTGGTCTTTCATCTCTCCCTTTACCATCAGCAACAATTAATCGATTGACAAAAGAAGAACAGTTGCTTACTTTAATTGGGCAATATGGTATTAATCCAAGCGGTGATACTGATTCAAGCGGTGGTATTGAATTATCTGATGACAACAACGCTTCGAATACTGATAAAACTGGTACTTTTCCGAAGTTTTTTCCTGCAGGATTTTGTTGATGTTTTCTTTTATAGTGCCCGGCGTTGATAATAATGCCGATGATGATATGGAAGTTGAAAATAATAATAATGATGAGCATGATAGTATTTGTCATGTATGTACGTGCCGTAGCATCAATATGTTAGAAGCTTTTTTTGCAAAGATTGCACGCAACTAGTGCATCTAGCATGCACGAACGGTTTATCATGTGAAGGTTGTTATTTGGATTGGCAAAGAAACGAAAATAGAAATATAGGTAAGAATTGCGTTATTATATTTTACTAGAGTACGAATTCAATACTGTTCGTGTTTAGCTAATACTGGTTAAGAAAAGAAAGCTAAAAGAATGACCGCACGAGCTGAAACTCTATCACCATTACGTTTAGGTGATAATGAAAAAAATACAAAGTGATGTGTTCAAAACGTTAACGATCAGCACAGGGGCCACAAGTTTCTTAAAACGGCTCTGGTTGAAAGAATAACATTTGATCATATCAATGTGTCGCATCGAAAGAAAAGAGATTAATCGAACATAATTTTAAGAAACAGATAACTAAATTTTACGTTTTTTTTCTACTCTAACTTCCAACATCAATTGTTTACATAATTTATCAATTGATTATATTCCAAAAAAAGAAATTTCAATGCCATATACTCAAATTCCCTGAACACTATCAGGGAATGTACAGATTCCCCAGGAAATGTAAATATTCCCTAGGGAATGTACATATTCCCTACAAATGTCAGGAAATGTGCACATTCCCTGATTTCCTACATTCCCTGTAACAATAATATTGATATTAATTTGAACTTTTTCTCCGTTTGAAGAAAAAGTGGGAGAAAACATGCTTTCTTTAAGTATTGATTCGATTCGCTGCCAAATCTGAACTAGACCTAGGAAGAAATTTTTGGGTAATTTTTTCAGATTATTACGCGGTCGTATCGTAACAACTGAATTCAGACTAATTTAATGCTAAATGACAAACGCATACTGCACATATATACCGTCTACGTGGATAAGAAGTTAGGCAGTTGTTCCTGTATTCAATTGCGTAAGACTGCTATTATAGATCTTTTCAATCATTGTGCATCAGAGACCGAAACAGGTCGGGTTGAGTCCGGTCGGATCGGGTTCGGGCCGCCGTAAAAGGTTTTAGATCGGGTTCGGGTCGCGTTTGGCTACGTTATTGGCCCGTTTCGATATAACTCAGGTCAATTTAAAATAAACTGCCTGAATTATCCAAACTTTTCCACTCATATAAGGAAAAAATGACGGAAACCGTAAGGAATTTGACCACTTTTTTGAAAATATTCAAAACAATCTGACTAAGACAACTTTTCTATAGGAAAGAAGTGTTTCTCTGTGAATGTGTACGAAAACATTTTCATGTTTCGGGTCTAGTTCGGTGCACAATTGCAAAATTTTCGGGTCTATTCCAGTCAGGTCAACTCACGTTCGGATCGGGTTCGGACCAACGTATAAGATATTGATTTGGGTCGGGTCAGCTTACGGTCGGATAGAATCGGGTTTGGGTCACGTTTGGTTGACCCGTTTTGGTCTCTCTTGTGCATTCACCGAGTGCTGCTATAGCAGCAATAGCACATATTACTAGAAACAACATCTCTAACTCCGGTACATCTTCGATAGTAATTTTACGACAAGAATCACACAAAATATTTCTTTCATTTATCAAATGCTTAGTTATTTAGTGTTAATTCATTCGGAAATAGCAAAAAAGCAATTTACTCTCTCACATAATATATACATATATATATATATTGAAGGTAAATGTTTTAAAACAAACTTTTCATTATACTTGTGTTACGAGTAGAGGTGAAGCTGGTGTCTTAGAAGAACTAAAAGTATTCCTCTCTATTCACATTCCATTTTTTTCTTGTGTCCTTTTTTTGTGCTTCGTTGCTTCATAGTAATTAAAAATTTGTTTTAAAACATTTACCTTCAATATATATATAT